GACTGAGGCCTATGCGATACCAAATCAGGAAGCTGCTACCGTGGCAGAGGTACTTGTTAAAGAATTCTTTAGCCGATTTGGTGTTCCCTTGGAGATCCACTCCGACCAAGGGCGAAACTTCGAGTCGACCCTTTTCCAAAACGTTTGTAAATTGATTGGTGTCAATAAGACCAGAACGACACCCCTGCATCCTCAATCAGATGGAATGGTCGAGAGGATGAACCGAACGATGGGTAAACACCTGTCCAAAGTTGTATCAAAACATCAAAGAGATTGGGATCAGCACATTCATTTATTCTTAATGGCATACCGCTCGGCCGTGAATGAAACTACAGGCCAGACTCCAACCTGCCTGATGTTAGGTCGTGAAGTTCGTTTGCCCTGCGACCTAGAGTTTGGCTGCAGACCTTCCGAAGAACATGTTGCAAGCGAAGATTATGTCGATCGTCTGAAGTTAAGAATGAACAGCATTCATGAACTTGCCCGACAACACATCCAGTTAGCCAGTGACAGAATGAAAGATCAATACGATTCTCGATGCAAGAATGAAAGCTATGAAGTAGGTGATCTTGTTTGGCTTTATAATCCACAACGTCGTCGTGGCTTGTCTCCTAAACTGCAAAGACAATGGGAGGGTCCGTATGAAATTAAAAAGAGAATAAATGACGTAATATACCGAATTAAGAAGTTGCCGAAAGGTAAACCAAAAGTAGTTCACATAAATCGTCTTGCCCCTTATGCTGGCTCAAATGAAACCGAAGAAGTCCGAACCCTTCAAAATAAGATCAAAGATGATCGGCGACCAAGCTTTAAGGAGTTTATGTCAAATTACACAGAGAGAAAGAGTGCTAGATTCGGTGTGACGACAGAAGTTCAGCAGGATCTTTTTAGTGTTCCGCATAACGTCTCTCTAGCCCACTGTGTTGCCCAAGATCTTGAGATGACTAAAGGAATCTCATCTGTATTTTATAAGAAGTTCGGTCGTTTGGACGAGTTAAAAAACCAGCAGCCTAAAGTTGGAAGAATATTGAGATTAGAAGATGGTTCTCGATCTTTGCTGTATATGGTGACCAGGAAGTCGTATACAGCTAGGGCAACCTACGAGGATATATGGTGTGCTCTAATTTGAAGAAAATCGTCTGCAATTACGACATTAAGAATTTGGCCTTACCCAAGATAGGCCATGCACTAGATAATCTGGATTGGAAGATTGTCAGAAGCATGCTTGAAGTGATCTTCCGAGAAACCGGCGTACGAATCACTGTGTGTTGCACTAATCCGAAGAGATCGTGTCCTTCAAAGACAGTAGACTGTTATTTCTTTCTGAGGGGTTCATGCAGAGCTGGAGAGTCCTGTAGATTCCGCCATCCTGGGCCTACATATAGAATTGCTGATCGGGACGCTCAGATCTAAGAGGGGAGCAGTGTTACGAACACGTAGCGTGTCTCCGTATAGCGGCTGCATCTCGAAAGCGACTCGATGCTTCCAGAAACATCTGTGACGTACGCCTAGAGGTGGGAACTTTCTAGAAAATAGTAACTTTGGTATATATATGTAACGATCTTAGGAGTTAGTTTAGTTGATAAGAGAATTCCGAACTGTAAAGTTATAAATAAATATATTTATATAAATTCGAACCGCTCGTTTTATTTAAAAACGGTACATTACATAAAATGAATTTCCATCAAGTTACCGTCGAATCCATCAATTGTTTAACATATACTCTGAGGAAATCTTTCAAAAAGCAGTACAGGATGTTGAAGATGGAATTCGAATTAACGGAGAATGTATCAATAACATCAGATACGCCCTCCAGGGGTTAATGAATAGAATGACAGAAGTAAGTCAGAGATATAAACTTTCACTTAACATTAAGAAAATAAAATGTATGATGACCTCTATGAAGGAACAGCAAATTAAAAGAATCGGTGTGAATGGTCAACCAATAGAAAGAGTAAAAACATACACTTACTTTGGTATGAACGTCAATGAAAATTGGGACCATTTCCTATAGATCAAATGTAGGATAGAGACAGCTAGAAAGATCTGCATTTCAAAAAATGGCTAAGCTATTCAAATGCCATGATTTATCAGTACCCATAAAAATCGGGTTACTAAGATGTTATATCCTTCCTGTACTGGTGTATGGAGTTGAGTTGTGGACTGTCACAGACGATACCTGCAAGAAAATTGAGGCTTTCAAAATGTGGCTTTATCGTCAAATCCTGAAGATATCCTATACCAATACTAACCAGGACGTTTTATTAAGAATGCAAAAAGTAAGAGTTGTTAATCACAGTAAAAACAGCCAAAATCAAATACCTTGGTCACATCATGAGGAACAGCGAAAGTATGTTTTCTACTTACATGGTTCAACACATCTTCTCAGAAGAGCAATGTGCAAAATATACATTGCTATGATGGTCGCCAACATCTGAAACGGATAAGAACTACAAGAAGAAGAAGGGTTTAGTTATCCCTATAATCAATATTATCAAATATTAAATTTTTTCTTCTTTAGAAGCCATGTATTGTACATTGGTCATATTCCAATATATTGGACCAATTGGCTTATTGCACATAATCCATTAATTATTATACAACTCATCAGAGCTTTGGCAGATCTAGTATATCTGTCAATACCTGATAGATCTCTTATTTAGCTCTGGTATACTCAAAGCTCTTGTATCACATTTGAATCCCCAAGTTTGCTGGCTCTGAGACATCACTTATGCAACGCTTTTCACCATATCCCATGGGCACGATGTTGTTACACCTCAGGATTGTGAAGCTCATTACTAGCAGCACAAATCATAACTATATGGTAAGCCAGTTGTGGCACATCAATCTGGTGGTATGTCTACTGAGCAGGGTGTAGGTGTTTGCGTTTCAAGTGCAATCAACAAGGAAATCCCTATAATAACATTATCTGAATTGACGGAAACCTTAAAAGAGGTTAAAAACGGAAAAGCCGCAGGGCCTGGAGACATTCCCATAGAGCTGGTTAAATATGGGCCGACTGCACTTTTAGAATTAATAGTAGACCTTTTCAATAAATGTATGTGTGGAGACCAGGAAATTCCTAAAGATTGGAATAAATCTTATATAAGCTCCATATATAAGAGAGGGAATAAAAGAGACTGTTCCAATTATAAAGGTATTAGTGTGACGAGCTCTGTGGACCGGTTGTACGGCAGAATATTAAAGAAGAGGGTTGAAAGACAGATACAAGATATTGAAGAACAAAGCGGCTTTCGTACCGGGAGATCCTGCCTTGATAATATATTTATCCTACGACAAATAATTGAAAAGCGTGTCGAAAGAAGTAGAGAGACCCATTTGGTATTTATAGACCTTGAGAAAGCATATGATAGTGTCCCGTTAAAGAAAATGTTTGAGGTCCTCAAAAGGTCCGGATTGGATTCGACGTATATCCGAGCGATATATAAATTGTACGAAAATGCAGTTAGTTGTGTAAAAATTGGAACCAGAACCTCAAATGATTTTAAAGTCACTAAAGGCCTAAAGCAAGGATGCTGTTTGTCACCGACACTCTTTAAAATATATGTCCAAGAAGCATTGAGGAATTGGAGAAATAAATGTAGATTTATGGGCATCGAAGTGGGACAAGAAACTCTGTATACATTGTTGTTTGCAGATGATCAGGTGGTGGTTGCAACCGATGAGGAAGATATAAATTATATGAATCGAAAATTATTTGAGGAATATGCCAAATGGGGGCTTACTGTAAACATAAGCAAAACAGAATATTTAAAAATTGGAGGAAATACCACAGATCTGAGGCTTGAAAACGCAGTCATAAAAGGCTGCAACCAGTATAAATATCTAGGAAGCATCATATCAGCAGATGGCAGAGTTAAGATAGATGTACAAAACCGAATAACCCAAGGGAAAAAATGCATCCGAATACTGAATTCATTACTGTGGTCTAATAAAATAAAGATGCATACCAAACTTCGCGTATACAGAGCAATTGTAGAACCAATTACCACATATGGTGCCGAATGTTGGACGATGACAAAGAATGAACGAGATAAAGTAGACGTTGTGGAAATGGATTATCTTAGAAGGTCATGTCGAGTATCGAGAATGGAAAGAATCAGGAATGAGGAAATACGAAACCGTACATTAATTAGATATACTCTTTCAGATAGAATACAAGGAAGGCAATTACAATGGTATGGTCACGTGATGAGAATGGAGGAGGAGCGGTGGCCAAAGAAAGCCTTAATGTATGTTCCGCCAGAAAGAAGGAAAAGGGGAAGACCACCAAATTCCTGGAGAAGAGAAATTACAAAAACAATGCAATCTAGAGGCTTAGAAGAGGGAGATTGGAGAGATAGGAAAAGATGGAGGCTGAAATGCGGGAAGCGGCAATCGCCGTAGGACCCCCGTTATATGATGATGATGTGCAATTAACAAACCTACAGTCAATGACATAGCTGAATCCCCACATCATTTTTCCAGTTAATCTATACATGTTTATTTAGTTATAGCTTATACACATGAAACCCACCATATATCTGTGGAAATAAGACAATGTCAATATATTTGTAGGATCTATTAAATTTGGTGTCAATAATCTGATATTCTTTTTTTCTTTTCTTGAAGGAAAATTTAGCATTTGTTAAAAAATAGGAAATCTATTGCATTTGGGGCCAATGTACATTATCGTGTGTATGATATGGTGAAATATCATTACACCTAAGGATTAATCATCATGATCCCAGATTGGAAAAAAAAAACAATTCCTGAAGGATTTTCATTTAGGTGTAAAAAAACTGATGGCTCATGGTACTAATTTTTTAATTTGTGAAAAAATACCTATTTATGGACAATTACTAGTATAGTAATAATAAGCAATGGAAAAAATCAATAGAATACATTTTTAAATATCTTGAAACCAATAAAAATTTTTAAGAATTTGAAAGACAAATAACGACTTATGAAAATGGAAAATTACACTACAAAAACAAAATAGTAGATATGTTTTTATTTTGTTGTTTTTTAAATTATGGATGTAAAAGTTAATTATATATCAAAATATATAAATTGAGTAAATTTACAGCTTTTTTAATTTTAAAATAACTATATCTGGACAGGAAAATTCCGAATGTTGTTCTTCAATTGGAATGATATGGATACTAAATGCTTCTTTGGCAGTTTTAATAAAAAGCTCCCAACATTCTCTCTGCTTTGCTGTATCTCTAATTTCTTGGCAGAGCAAAATTTCTGTATGTGACCCTACAAGTTCTTTTAAAGTTTTGAATAATGGATCTATAGACTGAAACAAAAAATATTTATTGTTTAAAAAATTTGTTTTATTATATAAACATATGTCATAATTGCACAAAAATTACAGATTAAAGATTTACAACAGTAGAGAAGAAAATAGAAAAATTATACATTCCAGGAACTGAAAATTAACATTATTTGATGGTCCTTACTGGCCTATATTCTATACCTATGTCATATTTTTCCATTTTTATTTGTCTTGTTCCTATATTTGCAAAATTCTCTACTTTGGTATGTATCTAACATCTTGCATAAACTTTTTACATTGCCTTTTTGATCAATTCCTATTGATTTTCCTTTCCCTCTTGTATTTTTATGATATTCATCTAATTAGAGTTTGTTGAGCAACACACTCCTATGCTTTTTTTGCATTGGTATTATTATTCCTTTTTTGTTTTTTCTTTCATAATAGGTAATTTCCTCTCACACTGTGAAATAATCCTCTACATTCAGTGTTGAAATTGACATAATAATGCAAAAAATCCTCCAGGTACTCAATGAAAATTTAACTTTGATTAAAATATATCATAGATGTTATCTGTAAATGGTACTAAAATTAAGGCATAAAAAGTATGATTAGAATATGCTCAATGAAGGAGTTGATGAACATAATATATTTGGAAAAATATTCTGCTGGAATTGATACAAAAAATTGAACAAGATTGGTTGGTTAATAATTAAAAACAAGAGATATGCTACTAGTGTAGTCTCCATGGAGAAATAGCTGATGTTATTAATTGTCTTTACAGCTTATAAAATCTTACCTCTTTGTAATAAATGCAATCAGCCAATAAAATGAGATCTGGAAACCATTTTAATTCAACCTCTTCTCCCCAAACCAAGGTAGATACATCTGCATAGCCATGAACTTGTTCCCAACATGATTTATTTGTCTCCACATTTAATTTTAAGAGTGGTACGGCCTCTGGTAAGTCCGTCAAAGTTACGGTGCCTCTAGAAGATATCTGCTTACATATTTTTGTCTACAATAATGATAAAACACTAAGAAATTCATGAATTTGATGTTAATTGACTAGTTAAAGGTTCATTCCCAAACTTCGGTAGGTGTTACAAAAAACTCAGTTTGCGAACTAAGTCCAGACTTCTCCAAAAGTCCTACAGTATAGACAACAACTGTTTTATACTGTGGTCCTACTCCTACCAGTGAATATAGACGCTTATAGCGTCTATATTCTTTGGTCCTACTCTCAACCAAATTTTTAAGGTTAGAACATACGTTTAGAAAAATAAAGTTTACCTACCCTAAACAAGCAGCTGTAAGGCCTACACAACCAACCCCTGCGCCCAATTCAATAATTTTCAACTTTTTAAAAAAGTCATGGTTGCTTTGATATAATTTTTCCAAATATTTTGCCAAGATTATAGCTGCATCCCATACAACACAACTAACATCGCCTTCTATTTTTTGATGAAGTTTTAAAACCGTTTCTTTCTGTAAATCTAAATCTAGTTCTCGAATGAAAGTGTTTTCAGTTTCCATTGTCATCACAAATCATAAATAATTAATTTAATAAGCACATGTCAAGATTAATTACTTCAATTATTCTTGCAGGACGCAGGAATATAATATAAAAACAAAAACGTGTCGATTGTCGATTTTTTTAGTTTATCGCAGTAACTCAGATGTTTAATATCTAAAAAAGTCAAGATCATCAGCAAGTATTGAACTAATCAACTGTAATTCACTAGAGCTGAACACGTTTTCCTGCAGCAGAGTTCAAAGTACAATAAAATAGCGAATCTTCAAAAGCGCATGCTTATATTGCAGAAATGAAGAGGTCGATTTGTAAACTATCTATTACCATGGGCGGCACTACAAATTCAGCAACGGGTTTAGTGTTTTTTGTGTCTTATTGACCTCGTTACTTTTAACAGACCGCAGAATTAATTAGACATTAAAACGTTTAATATAATATTCAATATAAAAGTAAATTAATATCTAATATCATTTTCTTGGCATTAAAATACTAACAGGAAATTGATTTTTTAAATATTTAAACCATGAACTGTAGTCTCATGTATCTTTTTACATGCGTTTTGTAAGAAATATATCCGTTGTATAGGTCAAGGATTGTGATATCGACAGAGACGGTGAAAATAAGACCTTAGTAAAAAAAACTTCTGTACTTCAGTATTTAAAATGTATGCCTGTAATATTAGGCTTTACATTTACAACAAAGTTTTAAGACAAAAAAAAAATGAACACAAAGAAAATGGAGTATATGCTTTTATCTCAACAATAAACGAGATACAGGAAAGAATAATTTCAACTCAATATTTCAATGGTAAGCAAATTCAATTCTAAAGATACTAAAAAATCTCTATTTTATTCAAACCGATTCAAATTTTTTGCAATGTATATTTTTCCAATGCAAAAGAATTACAAGGAAATAGAGATACAAAACGAAGTAAGGTTATGCTGTGTGTTGTATCCAATGACGTATAATATATAGACTACGCAGTCCCCTATTCTCGCTATAGAATCGAGTGTCCGAAAGATCTCGGCTCAAGGTTGAAGGTATGTTTATCAGAACAGCGACGTGCTCATTTATATGTTAATGACAATAATTATTTTTTTAATCAAAATTAAATATTTATAATTTCTATTTGTTCCCATCTATAAGAGAAATAATTATTTTGATAAAATAGTATGGCATTTTACTAAAATAGTAAGTAAATGACTTCAACAATTTAAAATAAAATTTGCTTGTCACTCACAATGGAGAAAATGTTTTCATACGTCCATGATGTTTTCAAACACAAGATCAACTTCGTGATGCTTAGTAAGAAATCATGAACTTCGTGCATCTTCGTATCAAAACAATAAACAATAACAAAGGTATTCATGTTTTGGACACTTTTTAAAGCGTTCACCGAGTCTATATATTATACGTCATTGGTTGTATCTATTACGGTTTCGCCTATGTTCTGAACACATAATTTAAAAATGACTAAGAAATAATGATCGAAATAATATAACACCATTCCCATAATTATCATTAGATATGCCAATGATACTCTACTATCTGTAGAGTAGGGAGGGCTAGTTAAGTTCCACAGCACTTAGGCCACAATTTGATTTGTCACCCTTAGCTCATTGTCCGTCCTGCCATTTCTAGGAAGGTGGACAAGTCACCAGGAGACATCTCCCTTATGTGGGCAGGTGTGGGCCAGGACTCGACGAACGCGTACCCTCGTATTAACAATAACTCCGGATATTCATATGCTAGAACATGCTCTTCTGTTTTGTCTCCTACTTCACACTTCCTACATAGAAGGGTGTCTGCTAGCCCAGTCTGTGGAGGTGTTTGCTTAGCTGACAATGACCAGTGAAAAAACCAACTGTCAAGCGTAGGTTTTTCCTGATCATTCCTAAGTACTTCTTTGGCGCTGACTCTTCAAGGTTACTTAGTGTTACCCTGGCAAGTTTACATCCTTGCCCTTCTTACCATCTTTTTGCGGTTTGCGTATGGGAGTGACATTTGACAATTTCCGCGATTGTTGTAGTTGACCAACCAAAAAGATCTCCAGGTCCTAAGAGTCTTAGGCCTGTCACCTTCTTAGCAAATTGGTCAGCAATTCGGTTGCCTATATTCCTATTGTGTCCTTTAACCCACCTCAGGATAATGATATTACCATCCGAAGCTTAAGTTAGTGACTCGTGACACTCCATTAATAACCCTGATCTGACACGTGGTCTATTCAACGTTAGTAGCACTTGTCTGCTATCTGTGCAGATCATTATAGTTTTCCCTGCTACACCTTTTTGAGTTATCTCTAACCAGGATTCAGTGATAGGAGTATATCCCGCATCCTGAGCCTTCTTTCATTTTGGAGCCATTGGTGTATATGCAATAGGCATTTGCCACGCTTGTCTCCCTATACTGTCGTGTTTTGATTTTGTAGGGTTTTTTAAAGACAAACTTTGGTTCAATTGAGTCGCTGCCTGCCTGTAGCAGTGGTAGCGTATCCATCTCTCCCCGTCAAAAACGAGTTCTCAATTGTCCCATTCCTACATCAAGGTTTGCACCAGCTGAGTGTTGTCGCATCATTGTCAATCGCACCACCTCTTTGACTTATATATCTAGAGGCGTAATGCCAATGATCAACTTCATTGCAGCAGTTTATGTTGTTTTCATGGCACATGTTATATTTATGCAAGCCATCCACTGAATATGGTTTAGTTTGTTAATCGCTGTTACCTGTACCTGTATACCTGCACTTTTGGTACCCAAGCAATAGCTCCGTAAGTTAGCATTGGCCTAATGACAGCAGTGTAGACCAGGTGATCACCCTGGGCGAAAGGCCCCAGGGTAATCTTCCATGTTAACTTCCTGTCAAGGGTAATACGTGTGCCCTTGATTCTTCTTTTCCAGGTAAAGAGGACCATCTCTGTTTTCTTAGGATTTATAGATAGTGAGTGTTCCTTGCACCATGTTTCTATTAGTCGGAGAGCAACTTGTACACATAATGTTTTCAAACTTACCGCCTTGCAGGACAGCAATATCGTCTGCATAGACTATTGCATAGAAACCGTTGCTGCTGAGTTGGTCAACCAGGGTATCTAGAACTATGCGATCCAGTGGACACCCCCTCGTAACCATGCCTCTAACAGAAACGTCAGGAATGTGGTTTTATCAAACGCTCTCTCAATGTCTATAAATATACCTAGGATGGATTCTTTAGTATCCAGCGATCTTTACTACATGACGCAGTGCAGAATCGGTAGATTTTCCCGAAGTACATGCATGCTGATTTGGGTGAAGTGGGTTGTGAACCAGAACTTCATCCCTTATGTACCTCTCGCCTAGCCTTTCCATCGTTTTCAACAGGAAGGATGTTAGGCTAATTGGTCGGAAAGCCTTTGGTAGGGTGTAGTCCATCCTACCTAGTTTTGGTATGAAGACCACACGTACCTCTCTCCACTTCCTAGGAATGTATCTCAGAGCCAAAGAGGCTCTGAATATTTCCACGAGGTGCGGCAGGAGGATATCCAGTCCCCACCGTAGTAGGGCTGCATATATGTCGTCAGGCCCTAGTGATTTGAAAGGGGTGAAGCGCAATATGACCCATTTTACCTTTTCCTTATTAATCATTGTTCTGGTGAGATGCCAGTCGTTTATTGTGAGTATGATTGCTTTTACCTTCCAGTTTGGTGCTGTTGAGACGCTAGAACCGGGAAAGTGTGTTTTCATCAGGACCTCAGTACTTTCGCAAAGGTTGAAAGTTTTGTTTTCATCTTCCTTCGTTAATATGCTGACACGCCGATGTGGGTCCTTTGAGAGCGCTTTTTATAGCCTGGAAGCCTGCGGGAAATCTTCGATTTTCTCACAGAAAGATCTCCAAGCAGCTCTTTTTCTTTGTCTGCAGACTTTTTTAAACTCTGAAATTTGGTTCATAAGAATCCCAATCCTCTTTGAGCTTGGTGCGTTTTGCTCTATTAAACGCTATTCTTGCTATCTTCCTAAGGTGTTCCAATTCAGTGCAGCCCCAAGAGTTGGTTTTATGACTTTTCTGGACCATCCTTATTAGATAGGATTTTTTATAAGCATAGCTTATTTTATTTTGGATAGATACCGTCTACCTTTCCAATTCTGTATTAGTTCCTGGAGTTGAAGCCGTTTTATTCCGCATAGCATCTTCTAAGAGTCGGTTGTAGAGTTCTACATCCGTCCTCCTAGGGTCGCGTTATTATATTATAGGTTAGCCAGAGGTGGTCAGACATAGAGATGTTCGAGGTGTAGACATATAGGTATCCTCCGATACTTCTATGTCTACACCTGGAATAATTTCTAGTTTCTCAGATTTTCTGCATTTAAAACTCAATTATTATTTTTGATTACAAAAGCGACATTTGAAATACGTACCTATATCTTTACCTTAAATTTTTAAAATTTGCTAGAACTACAAAATTTTTAAATATTACTTTCTTAAAAGTAATTTTAAAACAAATAAATCCTCTGCTTTTATAAACAAAGAATACTAGAAGGTTTAACCTATTTTGATTGTTATCAAAGTATTTAACTAAGTAAGAATTGAATCGGTAAACAATTCAATATTTGATTGTTACATTTATCTAATATTTTACAATTATACTGATAAACGTGATAAGTGTATACTTTCTTATCTCATTTAACATTGGTTGTATATGCTCATGTCAAATCAGAGAAAGGTATAATCCTTCCGTTTCTTGTGTTGTCGCAACACTTATCAATTGATAATCAATTATTAGACGTGTTGTTGGCTAACACGTTTTTCTAATCGTGTTATTAACAATAAATCAGTAAAGCCGTCAATTTATTTTGTTGTTGCCTGTATGAAACTATTGCCTTCAAGACTTTTTTATAATTTTAAACTGATTTCATGTGTTCTATAACGTATCAAATATTTTATTACTATATTTGTAATGATATGGCAAAATGTATGCCATATATCATTGAACATAAAATATAACATTCTATTAAAATGTCATAAACTCATTCCTTCGATATCAATATGTATGTATGTACAGCGTTAACAGGCCTTTTCGGCCCATTGCTGGACG